GTCAGGGCCCTACTGAGGTTAAATAAGATATAAGGTTTAACAATGTGAAATAGCAGTGTAATTAAATAACACAAGATATGAAGGACAGCAACAACTATTACAAGGCAAGTAAAATACAGTAAAAGAACACAACTCAACTCCAAGATAACAACCGGGGATCTCCCAGGATACCTTCTAGTAGTCCCCAAATATAAATATCATCTCTAGTGGATCTCCCGGGTGCAGTCCCGTAGTCCGACTCATAAATGTGCAGGGGGATATCCCGGAATGCAATTCCGTCGTCTTAAAGAAAATATACAGGGGAGCTCCCGGGATACCGTCCCGTAGTCCCAAAGTAAAAGTGCAGGTGGATCTCCCGAAATACCGTTCCGTAGTCCCAAAGTAAATACACAGCAACAACAAAATTCAATCCAATCAATTTCATATCAAAGTGAAGCACGTGATCCTAACCTAGCATGATTCACGTAGTACAATTAAGACAATTAAGACAGATAAAGCAATTTAGTCAAGTAGACATGCTTCTCTAAGCTACACCAGGTTTAATATCCAAACAGTATAAGCAAAGAAATGAGAACACAACTCAAGGATATTTTAAAGAAAAACCGGATTTCCAACAATTAGCACAAGTGCGCGCTCGTCACCTCACGCACGAGGGATTTCAATTAACACAATATCAATCCTAAGGGGAAAAGTCCCCCACACAAGGTTAGACAAGCCACTTACCTCGAACTGGCTCCAAAATCAACTCAAAACCACACGTTTGCCACGAGTATCTGACTCCAAATGGCCCAAATCTATTAAATTCCATTTCATAATGTAAATAATACTTCAAGAAACTGATTCTACAATTAAATTCTAAGCTAATACGCGAAATTATGAAAAATGACCATAACGCCCCTCGGGTCTCACGTCGTCGGAACGTCGGGTAGTAAATTTATTACTTTACACTAATCCTCACACTCACACGACGTCTTATTATAATAAAATCTCTACAACTACGGATCGACCAACCAAACCCTNTATTTACTCCAAGGACAATGTAGGAAAAAAATAATTAATTCATTCTTTAAATCTGGAAAAATCACTTATTTTGGACCACAAGAAAAAGGCCAAAAAATCACTTATTTTGGACCGGAGGGAGTATATGAGATGGAGGGAGTAGTAACTAATAGAGTTATTATCAATGTCTTAAGCAAATTATAATTTATTACGGTTTACATTAAATTACATGTGTGCGTGTGCGGTGTGCCTAACACTCTTTAATGTCGATGTACACATTCAATGGCAGTAACTTGTGGTTTAATATGTTTTTAGATACTAGAGTTGGCAAATTTATTATCATGGCGTCGTTTGGACAAAACCTACAAAAATCTGAAAAGGAAGATAGATATGGCTATACGTCTAGCTGAACTCTACAAACCTTACTTGCTTTTCCAGGGCAGGTATGTTAATCGTTTATATTTTGTATCTCTTCCCAGTTATGTTCTAGTGGCTTAAGCACCATTTAATCAACTCGCGGCGCCACTAATTAAAAGCAACATAATTATTTCTAAACCTATATTTTTCAGCTTTGATGACGTTAATACCGAGAGGTTGAGAATGGCAATTAAACAATGCAACATGGATGATGTGCTCAACTTTGATCCAAGATGCATTAAATGGGAAGATTACTTTATGAATACTCATATCCCCGGGGTTGTAAAGCGCATTTTCTAGGACTAATATACTAAATTCATGGGTGTTGTATGTGCAATAAATACTTTTTAAAATAGGAGTGTTTTTTCATTATTTTCATTCATGTAAAAGTTTGGCATGAATACAATTATATAGATCGTTGTGTCTATGTATGTGATCGCTGAACAGTTATCTCTAACATTGTAATTTGTATATCACTTGATGGGAATGCTAAGCCAATTCGCTCGTGCGTATTTCTATATATGCCTTACAAACAAAATCAAGAATATCAACCACATTATTTTGTAATTTAGAGTGCGGATGTGCAATATAAGCTATGAGTTCAATCACACAAACTCTTACCTAATTTGAGTTGGTTCATGGGGTTGAGTTCTGTTCTAAATTGGTATAAGTTCTCAATTAGTATTTTAACTATTTTTTTAACATTAAAGTTTCCGCGTTATTAGATCTCACTAAAAAAATACATAATCCAATGAAGATGACCAATAAAGCTAATTAGGTAAAGTAAAATGACTTTTAAAATACATAAAAAATGACTTTAATGACCAATTATCCTAAGTTGAATGACCACCTAAGCTATCATCTCCTTAACAAATATTCTCGTGTCTGTTAATAATTACTTAACTATGATAAATTCATATAATTTACTGAAGAAATCGGATGGTGATAAATATCTATATATAAATGTAAAGCTGGGAAAACTATCAGTGACGTGGCATCATTCCTAGACCAGAAATGTGATTTATCTTTTTTGCTGTTTTTTTGCCTGTTTCCTCCTATTTTGTTGCAAAAAACTTCTTTATTCAACTTAAATATCCAAGAAGGAATGTAACGGTTGCAATTGTTAATGTATAGGAATGCAACGGTTGCAACTCTTAATTAATGAAAATAATGATAATAATAATATTAGAAACAAATACTAGCTTATAGTTACAAGTAGCAATTAAAGTATCAACAATTGCAATACTACACTCTTCCTCTCTAAACCCCATCTTTCACTTCATTTTATTTTATTTTTTTGTGGTAAAGCTCAGCACAAATAACATACTTACACTCAGCAAAGAAGAATTCATTTCATCTTGGAATTGATCTTCAAGAGAAGTCAATGTATAATATGGGAGTTAAACTGAGGAGGACGATGAAGATTCATATAGTGCTCTTTGTGTAAATCAAAATTTCACAGGTATTAGAATTGTAACCTTTTTTTTGTTTTGTTTTTCTTTCCTTTTCTTTCACTATTTAACAAATCTCACATTTTGTTGTTTAGTGTTTTGTTCTTGTGATGCGAAATTCCTTGCACTTAATTAATTGGGTTATAATTTCCATTTGTTCAGTCCTTGGGGTTGAAATTTTATTCTGATTTTGACTTCAGCAAATTACTTGACATGACGGGGTACCCGACTGGCAAATATGTTGATGTTTTCAACTTTTATCTACGGGGATCGAAGCACTTTCTCTGCTAATATATATATATATATATATATATATAAAAAGTTGGGAATTAGAAAAGTGATGTGGCACCTCTTATATGCAAGGAAACCTATTTATCTTTTTTGTCTCAATTTTTGCTCTTTTATCCTTATTTTCCATCTAAAAATATGCAGAAATTAAAGGTTACCAAAATTTTCAGTTATTAATTTTATTTATTTATTACTCCATTACTCTCCTGAAATCTCTCTATTTTCCTTGTATTGCTTCCGTTTTCTTCTTCCTTAATTGAATTAATACAACAGTTATGAGTATTAATGTGTGGGCCTATTTCTTCTAATTATTGCTTACAAAGCAAACCGTAATCTTTTCCTTTGAACAAGCATTGGTTCATCTTCTCTTTTTCTTGTAATATTCCCATTGAAATTTGATTCTCATCTCTCCATTTGGACCAGATCTGAGTTCCATTATCTCGTTCACCACACACAAAATTCTTTTTGACTTTGATTAATAAAAGAAATGAAGTAGAAGGTGAGTGAGGGGCATTGAAGAAAAACTGTCTTGCTACCGTATGATGGTGAGTATAACAGTTTCTTCACTTTGAACTTTGAAGAGTTTGAGAGACTATTTTGATTTATCATAAATAAGGAGAACGGCAGAAGCCTTTATAAAGATCTATGTGTGCACAGTGCATTCGATATATGTCCTGCTATGTATAATGCGCATACCAATGAGGAGTTTCTATATTTGGAGAGTGTTAAAGATGAATGTCGTTCAAACTTGGTGAATTTTTTTTACCCTTTTGCCAACCAACACTTTTTATATGGCTTCTTCTTTTGTTATCTCTATTATAACTTTGTTTCCTTATCTAAAATGAGTTTTTATGTAACATATTGAATTTTGAGCAGGTACCAACCGAACTCCCCTGAAGCCAATATTGTTAATTTGTTCTACTGGATATGAAAGTTCTTAAGGACTCACTTAACTATGTTATGCATTCTCTTTTTTCTACTTCTTTTTTCTTTTCTAATAATCTTATTTGGAATTAATAGGTGCAGCTCCCATAATCTTTTTTTTTCCGAGTGGAATCATTTACGATAATGAACTTATAACCGACAATCTGTTTTCTACCATCTTAATTTTCACACAAACAAAGAGCAGTAAAGAAGTAAAGAGAGAGAAACAAATAACCCGAAAGAAGAAAAAAAAACAATTTACTCCACTTAAACACTGCTTTGGGAGTTATACTTTTTATTATTAAATTTTTTACGAATTTCTATACATAAAAATAATTTATGTTGCAAATTTTCTCATATAACACATTTACTTAATATGTTAGTTTGAATTTTAGAAAGTAAAAAATGTTATACATTTAGCACAAAGAGTTTATTTATTTTGATATTTTATTTTAAATTTTTGTTGTCTTCTCTCACCTATTTTGATATGAGTGTTTAATTTTATTTTTGTATACAGAATGCATGATGTTTTTCTCAACCATATTTGTTTGCATTATTTCTGCTTCCCATATTCAGAATACCTTGAAATATTGTAGTTCAATTAGTAAGTATGTGAAAAATTAGCTCTCTGAATGTTTTATTTATGTGGACAATGAATTAATATCACTTGTGGATATTATACGACTTTAAATTGGACAATATATGCATGCTTATACTGGCATGCTGCATTGACATTTTATTTTGCCGATTTATATGTTTTTCTTCAACTCACATGTCAAACACTGTTCTAATGCTACAATCATCATATGAGTTAATACTAAACGCAAAAGAAGACAAAAAGACAACTAAAAAAATTAAAGAAAAGAAGGTATTGTAATTTTTTGTGAATTAAGTAGTGCATGTAGTGTTAAAGAAATAGATTGAACCAATATGATCTTACTTTATTTGGAGATTTAAATTCTAAAATAGCACTATTTATTTATTTATTTATTTAGTTTTAACGCATAAGAATAGTGCAGTAAATATATAACACAGTTTGTGCAGAGAGAATGAGTTGCCTTTGAATATCTCACTTCCAACAAAATTATGAAATACCACCAAAGATTGTGGCGAAGCTCGGGTATATAGTTGCCTTTGAAGAATCGGATAGTTGAGTCATGAGATTTTGACCTCGAACTTTGGGCATGAGTTGCCTCCGAAAAGGAGTAGTTTTAATCATAAAGTGGAACTCTTTTAGCGTGAATCCGAATTAGTCAAGCCTCAAAAAAAATATCATACATTATATGACAACGCAAAAACAATAAAAAGAATAAAATTTGAGTACGTGTTTTGCCATAAAAGAAATCAAAATAAAGCAGTATCGAAATACCCAAAGAAACAAAGAATAGTGAAATCAATTAACATTACAAAAAGGATTCGACCTTGCTTGCTGGAGGAGAAAGCTGCTGAAAAAAAATTAATATTGATCATGGAATTTGTGGAGGATTTGATAGTATTTTTGATGTATTTTGGGAGATTATCATGTGTGATTATTATTTTTGTTAAAATTTTTTGGATGTTAAGTATTACATATCTCGACCGTTTGTGTGAAGAGGTAAATGTTTGTTGTTAAAAATTATAGGAAGTTTAAGTTATAAAAGAAAGTTGAAGGAGAAAATAATTTTCAACTCAAGTTTTTTATATTACTCCTCAATATTAGACANCGGAGTCCAAATGAGCCCTCAAATCCTCAATTAAAGGTCTAACAACTTTTCCCCCAATTTCCACCAAAATTCCAAAATCAAATGATGAAATTAACCTAAGGTTGATGGAATATAACTAGAAAGGGTTAAAGAAACGTTACCCAATGATCTCCTCTTCAAATCCCTCTCAGAATTGCCCTCTCCCGAGCTCCAATTTGATTTTTCTAACTTTTGAAACTAAACCCTCGAATTTCATATTTCTGCCCAGAGATTTCCGCTTCTGCGGTCAAGGGACCGCATCTGCAGTCCCGCTTCTGTGGACCATTTGTCGCATCTGCGACTTTCATTAAGAAGGCCAGGAGCCGCATCTGCGGTTCTTCTTCCACAGATGCGAAACCGCTTCTGCAGTGAAACTTCCGCATCTGCGGAACCTGAAGGACACCCAAAAATCCGCATCTGCGGTACCACTAGCCGCATCTGCGGCCCCCAAACCGGAGATGCGAAAATATTAGAAGCAGCAAAGTCTGCAATCTCTCAGCTTCAAAAAATCTTCCCGTCAACCATCCGAAATCATCCCGAGGCCCCCGGGACCTCAACCAAAAGCACCAATAACACCTAATACCTCATCAAAACTTGTACCAATCCTTAAACCACCTAAAACAACATCGAAAACTCGCATTAATCAAGGATTTAAGCCTAAGAACTCCAAATTCCCTAAAATACGCTTTCGATCAAAAACCTAACCAAAATACGTCCGAATGACCTGAAATTTTGCCACACATCCCAAATGACATGACGGAGCTACTGCAACTTCATTCCGACCCTCGGATCAAAATCTCACTATCGGACCGGAAACTTCAAAAATTCAAACTTCGGCATTTCAAGCCTAAATTAGCTACGGACCTCCAAAACACATTCCGAACACGCTCCCAACCCCGAAATCATCTAACGAAGCTAACGGAATCATAGGAATTCCATTCCGAGGCTGTCTTCACACTGTTCTGACTATGGTCAGTTTTCCAACACTTAAGCTCTCATTTAGGGAGTAAGTGTCCCAAAACTCTCCGAAACTCAAAACCGAACATCCCGGCAAATCAAAATAGTAGAAATAAGCTTGGGGGAAACAGTTAATAGGGGATTGGGGCGTAAATTCCAAAAACGACCGGCCGGGTCGT